GCAATTCCAACCGAAAAAGACAGGTCTGGTCGAGTGTGAGTCAAGTACCTCAAACAACCTATCACTCGCCTATATTCAGTTGGATCAACTTTTTCACCATCTTCATCCTTCTTGACCTTCAACTTAGGTTCCATTGGTGACGTTGTCGGATTGCAATCCAGCAACCCAAATTGCTCTAAAATCTTCTTTGCATAAGCCGTTTGTCGCAAAGATATTCCCCACTTCTTTTGCGAAACTTCGATTCCAAGGTAGTAAGAAAGTAATCCCAAGTCACTCATTTCGAATTCTTTTTTCATTTGTTTTTTGAATTTGACAACGTCGTTAATGATCGACCCGATAATGATCAAGTCATCAACATAGACACCAACAATAAGAATTTTGTCTTTTGAGTTCCTTTTGTAAACAGCTGGGTCTTGTGAACTTTTTGTAAAACCAAGCCTTTTTAAGCTTTTAACTAAACGAATGTTCCAAGCTCGAGGAGCTTGTCGTAGACCATAAAGAGCTTTATAAAGCTTGAACACCTTGTGACTGTTTGCTCTATCAACATATCCTTCTGGTTGGGTGACATAAACCTCCTCTTTGAGATCTCCATTGAGAAAAGCCGACTTGACATCGAGATGGTGGACAACCCACCCATGTTGAGCTGCTAAGGCAAGAATAAGCCTTACGGTGTCAAGTCGTGCTACCGGTGCAAAAACTTCATCAAAGTCGACTCCTTCCTTTTGTACAAATCATTTTGCTACAAGTCGAGCTTTATGCTTCACCACTTTTCCCAAGTTGTCTTTCTTCACTTTAAACACCCATTTCAAACCTATTGCTTTGTGTCCGTGTGGCAAATCGGTAAGTTGCCATGTCTTGTTCTTCTCGATTGCATCCAACTCTGTTTGCATAGCCTCCTGCCATGCTTTAGAGGTTATTGCCTCTTTAAAATTCAAGGGTTGATCTGCTGCAATCATCAACACTTCTCCGGGTTCAAGGAACACATTTTCGGTTTCAGAATAAATATCGGTTAACGGACGTAATCCCCTTGGCCCAATCTCACTAGAAGGGCTTTCCATATGGGGCGAGGTTGAAGAAAACGAGGCTGATTCAGGCTCATCAAATTCAGCATATGGTTGTCCAACTTGGATAGCATCGATTCCGGGACTGTCTGGTTGTTCCGGGTTGCTTTCAGGGTCATTTTGAGGTGTTTCGAGGTGTATTTGGGGTTGTGGTTCAATTATGGTAAAGGTCTTAGGAGTCACCATCTCTTCTTCTTTGTTTTTGTACCAATTCCATTCTTGTTTTTCATCAAAAACAACATCGCGACTAACTCGCAACTTTCGGTCTTGCGGATCAAACAAACGGTTGCCTTTAGTTCCATCTTCCACACCTAAATACACCATCTTTTTACTTCGATCATCAAGCTTCTTCAAGTGACCACCTACAAGTTTAGCAAAAGCAACACAACCAAAAACTTCTAGATGTTCAAGGTTGGGCTTTTTGCCAAACCATGTTTCATAAGGCGTCTTGTCGGGAACTGCTTTTGTTGGCAGGCGGTTGAGAAGATAAACTGCATGTCTAGCCGCTTCTCCCCAAAACTCTCCCGGAACATTTCTTCCTTTGAGCAGACTTCTTGCCATGTCCATAATGGTCCGATTTCGCCTTTCTACAACTCCGTTCTGTTGAGGCGAATATGGTGTCGTAAGATGCCTTTGAATACCATTTTCTTCACAAAATAATGAGAATTCTTTTGAAGTGAACTCTCCCCCTCGATCCGTTCGAAGTATCTTCATTTGATAACCCGAATTCTTTTCAACCATCAACTTGAACCGTTTAAAAGCGCTCAAGGCTTGAGACTTCTCCGATAGCATGTAAACCCACATCCACCGGCTAAAATCGTCTACTAAAAGGAGAAAATATTTACTCCCTCCAACAGATGTAGGTGTGATCAGACCACATAAGTCTGCATGAACAAGTTGTAGAGGTTTTTAAGCCCGAAAAACTGCGTGATCCGGGAAAGGAATTCGGGTTTGTTTGGAAAGAACGCACCCTTCACATATTTGGTTTGGGTGCTCAATATTTGGGACTCCGGTTGCCATATTCTTTTCGGACAACTTCTTTAAGGCGAGAAAGTTAACATGACCGAGTCTAGAATGCCATATCCAAGCTGGTTCATCTTTTGTTGCTAAAAGACAAGTCGGTCTACCGGTCCTTAAAGGTGTTTTATATAACCGGTTTGGGGATCGTTTAACTCTCAAAAGTAGAGTTTTGTTTCTGTCAAACAATGTCAGATCCGACCCATCCATTATGACCCGACTCCCTTCCTCCGTCATTTGTCAAAGACTAATAATATTGTTTTTTAGACTTGGAATGAAATATACCTCATTAAGGAGTCTCTGGTCGCCATTTTTGCTATCGAATAAACTCGACCCTTTTCCCAAAATAGCGACGGTCGAACCATCCCCAAATTTCACGTGACCCGTAATGTGCTCATCTAGTTCGCGAAATTTTGAGCGGTCTCCAGTCATGTGATTGCTAGCACCGTTGTCGAGATACCATACCTCGGACTCGACTCGACTTTCTCTCGATGCAAGAAGATTAACACAAATCTTCTCTCTTAGAGACACCTTTTTGTGTGCATATTCTTGTGCGGCAGCCATCATCAAAATAGGTTCTTCTTCGTTGGCTTGAGTGAGGTTCGTCTCCTCACCTCGATTCTTGTTTGGACACTCCGAAGCATAATGACCAAATTGTTCACAAGTAAAACATTTGATTTTACTTTTATCCTTTCGAGAAGGATTATGGTCATTCCGATTTGTATTGTACTCGCGACCACCTCCTTGGCCACGTCCACGACCTCGGCCTCGTCCACGACCACGGTTACCATGTCCTCCTCGTCTTCTTGAAGTGTTTGACGCGTTTCTCTCGCCAGTTTGCTTCGAACGAGATGTCCACTCGGCATGTGTAAGCAATAGAGAAGGTCCTCCTTCTTTTTCTCCATAGCTTTGAAGTCTCTCTTCATGGGTCTTAAGACGACCCACAACTTCTTCCACCGTCATATTCTTCAAATCTCCGAATTGGTCGATAGATGTTGCGATTTGTATAAATCGTATCGATACGGCTCGCAGAAACTTCTTCCACCGTCATATTCTTCAATCTTTTCACCTAGAGATCGAATACCGGTTACGATAGTATTCAATCTCATGGAAAAATCATCTACCGATTCACTGTCTTTCATCCGGATCACCTCGAAGTCACTTCTCAAGGTTTGAACTTTAGCCTCCTTGACCCGATTGACTTCCATGTGCATCATCTTAAGCGTTTCCCATGCTTCTTTAGCTGTGTCCTTCTCAGCTAACATCAGAAGTACGTCCTCTGGAATTGCTTGATAAATAGCCGCAAGAGCCATCCGATCTTTACGTTCGTCCATTTCTGCATTTTTAATTACATCCCATACTCCTTGTGCTTGTAAATTCACTCGCATTTTTATGGCCCACACCGTGTAGTTCATCTTCGTGAGCATTGGATAGTGTAACATAACGCTACCGTCTTTCCCGGTCCTTTGAAAACTTTCAACTTCAGCTTGAGAAGATGACGAGGTTGGTGTAGTCATTTTTGGCATATACTTGGGCATACACGAGTAAGAATTCTTTTTTTTTTGAAGTACGGGGACCAATATGAACTTTTCAGAAGTTCAGGGGGCAAACAGAACTTTAAACAGAAGTAAAATAGGGGCTAAATTGAAATTTTTCTGAAAAACGGGACCAAAATTGCAATTTTTCTGAAAAACAGGGGCTAAATTGCTCTTTCCGGAAGAACAGGGGCTAAACTGCAATTTCCAGAACTTTGGTCAGCTGCTGACGTCACTGCTACAGTGGCGCTACAGTAACAGATGATGTCACCCTTCTTCTCCGGCGAACCTGGTTTTTCGGCGAGTTTCCGGCGACTTTTGACCAACTTTGACCGGTGATTTGGAAGCCTTCCGGTGGTCAAAAAATTCAAAAAAATATATTTTCGGAATCCTCGGAACGAGACCTTTCCAACGGTGTATTCCGAAATTGTTTTTGAGACAAAATATTTTCGACCAAAAAACAGAGAATGCTTCCCCGGAGCTTAACCAAGCTCTTATACCACTTGTTGGGGTTATTAGCCATATATTTTATATTAGCCGTATACTTTGTATAATGCTGAAATTATTTTGTAAATATTTTCCTAACTTAGATTAGGTCAACTATTCTTGTATTATAAATACCATTGAGATTGGGGAATAACATACGAAAGATTTTATCTACTATCATGGTATCAGAGCACACCTACATCCAACCCTAATCGCAACCTTCTTTTCTATCTTCTTCAAACCTGCGATTTATATTTCTTTTCTGTCTTTCTCCTCTATATTCTCCTTCAACCTGTGCGATTTATATTTCTTTTCTGTCTTTCTCCTCTATATTCTCCTTCAACCTGTGACTTACATGGCGGAAAAACTTCACCCCGCTCTCATGATCACCAACATTCGGAACTTTATTCCGATCACTCTCGAGATGGAGAATGCACAATATACCTCCTGGGCTAAACTCTTCAAGATTCACTGCCGTGCATTTGAAGTAATTGATCACATTCAACCTAAAGCCGAATCCACTGCTACTGTAGATGGAAAACAACCTCCTCCAGTCATGTCGACAGAACTTTGGAGTCGCCTTGATGCCATTGTCATCCAATGGATATACAACACCATCTCAAATGACCTCCTCCAAACTATTCTTAAACCCAACTCCACTGCTGCTCAAGCTTGGACTGCCCTTGAAAGTATTTTTCAAGATAATCAAAACGAACGGGCACTCTATCTCGAACACAAACTGGTCACCACCAAACTTGCAAACTTCCCAAACTGTTCAGCATACTGCCAAGCCCTCAAGATGTTATCTGATCAACTTTCTAACGTGGGTTCACCGGTTTCAAATCAACGCCTTGTCTTGCAACTGATTGCTGGCCTTACTGAGTCGTATGAAGGAATTGCCATGATGATACAACAAACAAAACCTCTCCCTGATTTCTATGAGGCTCGTTCCCGCCTTATTCTGGAAGAAACTAGAAAGGCTAATAATGCAGCCCAATCGGCTACAACTGATGCAACAGCTCTTAATACTCAAACCTCCTACAACACACGCCCTACCTACCAGGTTCAAGATTCAAACAGCAACATCAACATCAACAGGGGACGTGGCCGTGGAAGGGGCGGACGTGGTCGTGGTCGTGGGAGAAGGGGAGGCGGTAACTTTGGAGTGGGTCGTGGCCAACAGCAGCCACTGTGGCCTTCTCCCTACACCCAACAATGGTCAACTTCCCACTCTTTATCTCCTTTCTCCCAACCTTGGGCTGCTCCATATTCGTGGCCTCCTACACACACACCACCTTGTCCCTACCCAACCAATCAGCCCCGCTCCACTGCTTCGGGTTTGTTGGGTCCAAGACCTTCTACACAGCAAGCATATGCCACATCTGAAAATTCCTATACCCCAACTAACTTGGAACAAGCATTTCATACCATGAGCCTCCACCCACCGGACCAGAACTGGTACATGGATACTGGCGGGACCTCACACATGTCAAATAACTCAGGTATTCTCTCCTCTTATGTCAATAAAGGTCTTTTTAGGAATATCATTGTAGGTAATGGCGCGCATCTTCCAATCCTAGGTACCGGTAACCACACATTACCCCAACCTTTCCCTCCTCTTAAACTCAACCATATTCTTCATGTTCCTCATCTTATTAAAAATTTAGTTTCTGTCCGTAGACTCACAAAAGATAACCAAATTTCTATTGAGTTTGACCCCTATGGTTTTAATGTGAAGCATTTGTGGACACGGACGCCACTCCTTCGATGCAATAGCCACGACGATCTCTATCCTCTTACTCTCACGCATCCTTCTCAACTCACTCGTCCAACAACTTTTGCAGCCATCACAAGAGATCTTTGGCACTATCGCTTGGGTCACCCCGGGGCTGATGTTCTTACCTCTTTAAATAAATCATTGTCTTTTCCTTTTAAAAACAAATTGTCATTTTCTGTTTGTGAACCATGCATTTTGGGTAAACATATCAAATTACCATTTCATTCATCTAGTTCTGTTACTATTTCCCCATTTGATATTATACATAGTGATGTTTGGACCTCCCCGGTACTTTCATCCGGTGGTCACAGTTATTATTTACTTTTCTTGGATGATCACACAAACGTTCTGTGGACTTTTCCCTTATCTCATAAATCACAAGTCTTCTCTACTTTTCAAAAATTTCATACTCTGATACAAACACAATTTAATAAAAATATCAAGTCACTACAATGTGACAACGGAAGGGAGTACGACAACAAACTCTTCCACGAGTTTGCCTCTCGACATGGCATCAACTTCCGTTTCTCTTGTCCGTATACATCATCCCAAAATGGAAAATCAGAAAGAAAGATACAGTCCATAAACAATATCATTTGGACCATTCTATCACACTCCCAAGTCCCTTCCCACTTCTGGCACTATGCTCTTTCCCATGCTACATATCTGCTCAATATTCTTCCATCCAAAGTGCTTTCTTACGACACACCCACTCATAAACTTTACCATCTCCATCCCTCATACTCTCACCTAAGGGTTTTCGGTTGCCTTTGCTACCATCTCTTAAGCTCTACAACCATTCATAAACTTCAACCTCGCTCCCATCCTTGTGTCTTCTTCGGTTACCCACCCGATCACCGTGGGTACATGTGTTTCGATACATCTAAACAGAAAATCATTACATCTCGCCATGTTATTTTTTACGAACATTCTTTTCCCTTTCAACGTTCCTCTCCTTTACATCCTAACTACTCCATATTCACCGATGAACCACATCACCCTCTAACATGGCTTAGTTCTCCTACCGGTACTACTCCAACATCGCCCCCCCCCCACCCAGCAACACCACCGGCCCTTTCACGACTTCCGAAACCTCCCATACAATTCACCTATATCCGGCGCCCCAAACAACATGGACATTCAGATGCCACAGAAACCACCAACACCACCGAACCCATCCCAGAAACCACCAACACCATAGAAACCACCAACACCACCAAACCCATCATCACCTCCAATATTCCTACCCGTACCATAAAAACTCGTAGCATGTCCGAGATCTCCAAACCTAAATGTAACCTTAACCTCCATGCCTCCACTCTTATCTCTCCTATTCCCAAAAACCCAACCGAAGCCTTGAACAATTTGGATTGGAAGAACCCCATGCTTGATGAATTCCGGGCAATTATCGACAATAAGACATGGGAACTTGTACCAAGACATCCTCACATGAACATTGTCCGGAGTATGTGGATTTTTCGCCACAAAATGAAATCTGATGGTACATTGGAAAGATATAAGGCACGGTTAGTTTGTGACGGGAGGTCTCAACAGGTAGGCGTGGACTGTGGAGAAACATTTAGTCCGATGGTCAAGCCAGCAACCATCAGAATCGTGCTTACCATCGCTCTCTCTCAATCTTGGCCAATTCACCAATTAGATGTCAAAAACGCATTTCTTCACGGGCATTTGGATGAAACAGTTTATATGCATCAACCAATGGGATTTCGCGACACACAATTTCCCAACCATGTATGTCTCTTAAAGAAGTCCTTGTACGGTCTAAAACAAGCCCCGAGAGCGTGGTATCAAAGGTTCGCTGAATACGCCTTCCAAATTGGGTTCCAACAGAGTCGCTCCGATCATTCACTATTCATCTACCGACATGGAGGTGATACTGCCTACCTATTCTTATACGTGGATGATATTCTTCTTGTGACATCCTCCGATTCTCTACGACATAAATTAATGGGTCTCCTTGCCAAGGAGTTTGCAATGAAAGACCTTGGGCCCTTAAGCTTTTTTTTCTGGGTATTGCAATCACACGCCAATCTGCAGGTTCGATGTTCCTTTCACAGCAAAAATATGCTGCGGAAATTCTAAAAAGATCAGGCTTCGAAAATTGCAAACCTCTTCCAACACCGGTCGACTCATCAGGAAAAATTAGTGCCAAAACCGACGAACTTTTGGAGAATCCGACAGAATTTCGGCAGCTAGCAGGGGCCCTTCAATATCTCACTTTTACACGCCCGGACATTTGCTATGCAGTTCAACAAATTTGCATGCACATGCATGCCCCTCGAGTTCCCCATTTCACGGTTCTAAAAAGAATACTTCGATACATTTGTGGCACAATAGATCATGGTTTAACTCTAACCGGCTCCAACACTATATCGCTTTTATCCTACACCGATGCTGATTGGGCGGGCTGTCCCGACACCCGGCGTTCGACATCTGGATACTGCATCTTTATGGGAAACAATCTCCTTTCTTGGTCCTCCAAACGGCAGACCACTATTTCTAGATCGAGCGCCGAAGCCGAATACCGAGGGGTTGCAAACGTTGTCTCAGAATCTTGTTGGCTACGAAATCTTTTATGTGAGCTACATCATCCCCCTCGCAAAGCAACCATTGTCTATTGTGATAACGTGAGTGCTGTTTATTTGTCAACCAATCCGGTTCAACATCAACGCACTAAACAAATAGAAATCGACATCCATTTCGTTCGGGAAAAAGTAGCTAGGGGTGAAGTTCGAGTCTTTCATGTGTCATCACTGTTTCAAATTGCCGACATTTTCACAAAGGGACTCCCACGCGTTCTGTTCGATGACTTCTAATCCAGTCTCAACATCCGGCCACCTACCGTTTCGACTGTGGGGGTGTATTAGCTATATATTTTATATTAGCCGTATACTTTGTATAATGCTGAAATTATTTTGTAAATATTTTCCTAACTTAGATTAGGTCAACTATTCTTGTATTATAAATACCATTGAGATTGGGGAATAACATACGGAAGATTTTATCTACTATCATGGGTTGAAACACACTTTTATTCAGAACTAGAACAAAAGAGAAAAGCTTACATGCTCAATATTACAAGAAAAAGAAACAACCCTCTAATACTCACTCTAAGTATTACACACTACACTCTTTATTTTGTGGTGCCTTACAACTGAGGTTAGAGCCTCTATTTATACTTAAACAAGCCTACAATTACTACTGCTACCATTTATTGTGTTCATTATGTGAACATACGAAGTTACCATTTGAGTTCTTATTGTCAACTTAGATAGAGGTTCAGCTACTGATGTCAGGTTCACACCAAGTCTGGTGTACACCAAGTCTGGTTTACACTCACACACAACACCATCCAAGTTCTACACTATCGACTGTGAAAGGCCTAAAGAAGGTATCAGTGCTGGTCGCCCCTTACCCTTCAAAGTTGGACCTGGTGAATCCATCCGGATTCTAACTTCTGTGCATGGAGTGGTATGCATTGGCATATACAAGGTTCAATGTGGGGCCTATAGATATAACAATATTGATAAATACTCTGATCTAATTCTATGGAATCCAGCGACGAGCGACCATAAGACGTTGTCTAGACCCAGTCACTGTTCTCATCCAGACTGTTACATGATCACTGATCAAAGTCTCTTTGGGTTGTATTATAGCTCGTGGGACGATGACTACAAGCTTCTACGAGTAACCCCACATCCCGATGTTTATATATACTCTTTGAAATCCGACTCATGGAGAAAGGTTAAGTCGGACTTCCAGCGTACTGGTGTACGCCAGGAGTGTTTATCATATTTTTGGGGGCCAAATGTTTCGTTGAATGAAAACATATATTTTTTAGAATATAATGTTGAGGAGTCATATTCAGTTATGAGTTTCAACACGAAGACTGAAACATTCAAATCGATAACAACTCCGTTTTGGGGAAATCAAAAGATAACTTGGTTGATCTTCACGGTTCTAAGAGATGGGTGCATTCATTTGTGGGTGAACATTGAAAAGTCTTTCAGGTTATATGAGAATGAGTTGTGGAGGATGAACCGAGATGGAGATTGGACCAAGGTACAAAATTCGGGCACGATATTGAGTGAGCCACTTTGGAATGGCCATGGACTGCACTTGATGAGGAATTGAAATTTGCTCTTGTATGGTGGATGTTGTGTTTACGAACTAGACATGAAGACGCATACCAGATACTTATGTTCATATACCGCATAAACGATGTCTGACTCTCTAGTAGGGAAATACACAAAGACTATGGTGTCACCCAATCAATATATGAAGTAATCATAAGCCTCGTCGCTTTTAGTTTATTCATTTTATATCCTATGTAACTATCTACTACTCTATGCTGCTATCAACTCAAATTTGTGTTTTTGATAATTTGCTTGGTACATGCTTCCATGATAATTTGCTTAATTGGTACAAACACTCAGAAGGGTACATACACGTTTACCTGTTAATGAAGGAATAGGCATCCTACCCTGTGATATACTTTGTTTTGCTTAATGACACCAACAAAGTTGTACATTTTGTCCATCAGCCCATGGTTATACCATCTAATAGAAGGTATTATGTCCTATATACGGTACAAGGTATTATAAATTCCCTCTGACTACGGTTGTAAACGAACCGAATGAACACGTACGATAGTTGTTCATACTCGTTCGTTTAAGTTAACCGAACAAACAAACGAACACTAGTACAAAACTGGCTTTTGGCGTCGGTATTTGAAAACATGATAGCATCGGTTTTCATATTTCTCATCTCTAAAGGTCATAAAGTAATTTACATTATTGTTTCCATGACATTTTACTAAAAACGAGTCACCGTTGTAAATCAAACATCAGACATTAACATCGATTTTACATAAAAAAAACAGTGACAAGTAGTGCGATGACCGAAAACGGTGGCCAAATGTTCTCTTTAATAACGGGTTTTGTTATTTTATATGTACATTACCTTTTATCGGTTATTAAGCGAGACATAAGATGTTTAAGTTTCATTTTAAGTGATTAAATATTATATTGAAATTGTAACATGACAAAAACCCGTGACAAGTCGTGTAACGGCCGAAAACGGTGGCTAAATGTCCTATTTTATAACTAGTTTTTTTCTGTAATATATACGATTCCCTTGTGTCAGGTATTAAGTGAGACGTAAAGACATAAGCATATAAAGTTTAATTTTAAGTGATTAAATTAAATCTTATATAGAAATTTCTTGGGAAATTTATTGTGTTTTTATGGGCCAGGAGAAATCAAACTATTCATGTCCAATAAACCAGTTCAAACTATTTTTTAACGTATCTATCACATCGGTTCATCCTGATTTATAAAGATTATGTCTGGTTCGATTCGATTCCCAGTTTAAACTTGTTTTAAAAGCATCGGTCATTATATGATAAATTGTCACTAGCTACAAGTTGTAAAATACATATAAGCCTTTCTATAAATATTTTTTGGTCATTCAAAATATTCATCACATTATATTTATATTTTTCTTCCCATTCACCTCATGTTATAAACAAATATGGCCAACGCAACAAGCATAAAAAGGAAAAGAGATGACCGTACTAGGAAGAATTTATCAAGCTAATATTTTAATACTGATCATCTTGATAACAAAAATATATATGAAACTACTTATTAATACATGGGGTATACATCAGCAAACCGCTATATATTCGGTATATATAATGAAAAGTAACAAAACAAAAACAAAACTAACCAAAAATATTTACAAAACTTATAAATAAAAGAATAATATAAGGTTTTGCATGTAGCTATTGTATATTCACAAGTTCTTTTTGGCCTTACATATTATTGTACCCTTACAGTTCTACCGAAAGTAATCATTACAAGATTCAATAGCCAAATCAAGTTTATCTACAAGTGACATTATATATATATATATATATATATATATATATATATATATATATATATATATATACACATATATATCTTTGTGTGGTAAAACTATTGTATTGTATTCATCATCATTGCTTGCACATCTATCTCTATAAATTTTTTCAGGTGTCATGATCATAGTTGATCTTGAGTTCCACTTTGAGGATTATGTGCTTCTGAAGGAGTCACCTTGGAGGGGTGTCATTCGGTTCCGAAAGCGGGGCAAGTTCGGCAACAGATATATCAGTTCGTTCAAAGTTCTTGCCTGTGTGGCCAGGGTCGCGAATCAGTTGGATCTACCTTTGGAGCTTAGTCAGATCCGTAACACGTTTCATATTTGACAACTGTAGAAGTGTTTAACTGATAATTTGTAGTGGTGCCTTCGGACGACATTCAAATTGATGATTGTCTGAATTACATGGAGCAACAAAATTCTATCCTTGATAAGAAGATCAAGACCTTGCGCAACAAGGTAGTGGGCTTAGTTAAAGTGGAATGGGAACACCGTCAGGGTTCAGAGTGGGTCTGGGAGCCGGAGGACGATATGAGGGAGCATTTTCCAGAGTTGTTTAATGATGCAAATTTTGGGGACGAAATTTGATTCATCTGGGGTAGATTTCTAACATTCTATTTTCCCAATATGGTTTTATTTATTAAAGACTGGGTTTGACCTTTTAGGCCTTGTCGACACAGTAGGCATGGTGCGGGCATTATGGAGGCGTGGGGCGCCCTTGCGCCATGGTCTTGACGAGATTATTAGGGTTTGTGTGCTATTTGAAGACACTTAAGCCCTAGGGTTGATCATTTTACCTCCTTCATCCTTGAATGATCCCAAGTGAAACACAAACCCTTTGGCCCTCTTTTTGAGCTTAAAATATCTTTTGGAAGCTTATTTTCATGTTTTGGTGTGAAGTTTTATGAACAAGTTGTTTGGAAAGTGTTTTGGTGGAGAGTTCAAGTGTAGATCAAGCAAAGTCACCTCATTTTTGGACCATTGCGAGTGAAAAGCTTCTACCTTGATCTTTAGTTTGTTAGATCTTGTAGTTTGTTCATATTTGTCCATTTTTGGTGCTTTTGAGCTTTTACTTTGGGGTTGAGCGAACTCCAGACCTCAAGCTTATTTTATTAGTGTATGACCTTGTTGGATTTGGAAAGTTTGGACCTTGATTCTTGTCCTTTAACCCATGCATGTTTAGTGAAGGATTTCGGTCATTTTAGTCTTGATATTCTAGATCTAGTGGGTTTTGTTTGTTCTTAATGTATAAAGCTAGAATGTTTGCTCATTTAAACCTCATTAGAGTTCGGATCTAGAAGATACGAAATCGACTTATCAAATTAGGTCATTTTACCCTTTGAATTAAGCCAAGGCGTGACACGCCTTTCCTAGGAGGGCGAGCTTTTAGGATTTTCAGGTAGGCACCTCATTTATCCTGAAAGCCTGGCTATTTTTTCTTGTAGTGGGCATAGGGCCCCCTCATGGGGAAAGGAGTGTCGTTTGACCAAAAATTGATTTTTTTGACTTTTTGTAGTACCAGCCTTCTCGTTTCTGCAAGTTGTGGCTATCGTCTAATTTACTATGATGTGAGTCTTCTCACTATACTGTAGGACACTAGGTGTCACTGTATTGTAAGGGTCGAAATTTATAGTGAGGTGTCGAAATGTAAGGCAATGTTAGAGGTCGAAGCTCAAATGTCTAGTCCTTACGTATTTTTTGTATGCGTCTATATCGCCCTATAAATAGGGTAAGTATAAGAGTCGAGAGTAGCTTTTGGGCATTTGCGTTCTTTACTCTCTCGTGTTCTTGTATACTTATTCAGGCGAATCAACGAGTCAAATAGAACTTATTTACATATGTGTTCTTAACGCTTTCTGTTATTGATTATGTTCTTAATACCCGAGTCAAACACAGTACAATTGGTATTAGAGCAGGATACATTCAGTAATTTCTAGTTTTCTCGTCTTTTTCAACAGTGTTTTAATCGCTCTTTCCGATTTAAAAGATTTGTGTACTTTTGATTAAGAAAACATGTTCTTATTGATTGATTTGTTTCGATTCTACAATCGGTTTGATAGATCAAGTGTTTTTGAACAATTTCTGATAGATTCATCTGCTAAATCTCTTTTTCTGAATCTCATCGTCACTTTTGTCCGTAGAAAAATGGAAAATTTCAACATGAACACAATGTCTAGCTTTTCTCATATGCTTGGATTTTCCACTAAGATTCCAATGCTTATTCCAGATTACTACGAGCAATGGGGAGATCGTATGGAGGATTGCCTCAACGGGATTGACGAGGATCTCTGGAGATGTATCACTAAGGGAAATTATCGTCCATATATGTTTGCTTAAGTCGGAAATACAGGTTTAACTTCTGGTATGACATCTCAAAAGGATAAGTATGAAGCAAATGATAAGAAGTGTCTTCGTGAACTTCGTGGTGCTCTTGCACCAGTTGTCTACAATGTTGTTTGAGGATGCAAAACTGCTAAAGAGATCTGGGATACTTTGAAGGAAAAGTATCAAGGAAGTGAGAAGATGAAGAAGAGCTTAGTGAAGTAGTGTTTATTGGAACTTGGAGAATTCAAGCAAAAGGCAAGTGAAACTATTAAACTCTACTATGATTGATTGAATGAATTGATATTCAAGTGTAATCATTATGGAGTTACACGCTCAACTCATAAATACAATCTTACATTCCTTATGGGATTGAGAAAGGAGTGGAGAAACATCAGCCTTATGATAAAAACTCAACAAAACTTCGATGGTTATTCATTGGGAGACTTGTATAATGTACTCAAAGATCATGAAAGTGAAATAAATGAAATTGCTGAGGAAGGGAAGAAGAGTATGGTAGGTCCGTTGGCCTTGATATCGAAGGTGTCAGCAAAGGACTCCGAGATCGAAGTTATTGAGCAAGTTGGCTCTGAAGATGAATGATTCTTCATGAATTCGGAGGATGAGGCTGTGGCTTACTATTCCAATAATAAAGTGAAAAAGTTCTTTAAGAAGCCTTTCAATCCGAAATACAAAATCAACAATGAAATCAAGGGTAACACTTCATCTGGGAAAGGAACAAGAGTGGAGTCGAAGGAAGAGAAGAAATAAAGCAAGAGTGTTGTCGAGAAGGCTGAGAAGAAGTTGAAGGGAGATTCAGAGTTCGATTACACTTACTGTAATGGTGCAAATCATCTTGCAGTAGATTTCATGTTGAGAAAGAAAGA